AAATTAATGAAGCTAACTCTGGAGGAAATATAAAATTTGAATAGCACCTATTAAAGAAAGTATATTCCTAGCTGGAAAACCTACCTATATGACAACAGCAGGCTCATATACATTTTAACTGATAAATTATGTCAAACAATTAAAGCAGAAAAAAGAAGGAACACTTCATATCTGCCCTTGCTCCCCACCTTAAGGAGAAAGCATTGTATCTTCTCCATTCATTTCTTTTTATTTTTAAAGAAGACATTTAAAAGTACTCTAATATGGCCTAAGAAAGCAAGGCGGGGGGGAAACCCAAAATGGAAATTTATAATGTTTATTAGGGGTTAAAATTAGTATGACACTGATACGCCACAAAGCTCTCAATAAGTGAAAACCATATAGAGCTTTAACAAATTAGCTCAGTGATTTTACTGTAGAAATTGCTACTTCCAAGATTGTTCACACTTGGTTTTTAGGGCATGTTTACCAGTGTGATCTGAACTCTGTGCATTTAACTTCACTGAGTAAAGACTAAAGGAGAGGAGTTCCCAGGGTTAATTATAAGGGCACAACTTGATATATTTATCAAGTGAAATGAAATGGAGAGTACAAGATTGGCAATTCCCCCAAAAACCAAGATTCAGAGACTTCAACGTTATCTATAAATGCTCATATACAATAGCAGTGAAGAATAATTTGGCCTGTAGCATATTAAGATTTAAAATGATATGTACAAAGAAAAAGTCAAACAATTCATATAAAGTACAAAACTAAACAAGAAAAAGCTCCCCTTCGATACTTTTTTTTTTTTGGTACCAGGGATCGAACTTGGGTCCTTGCACTTGTGCAGCAGGTGGCAAAACCACTGAGCTAAATCCCCAGCCCCAAGAAAAAGCTCTTAAACATTAGTTACACCTATAACTCAAAGGCCACTTTAATGTGGTGCATATATGAGCCATACAGGAGTGTAATTTATATCATCTGAGCTAGCTAAGGGGCAAAGTGGTATCCAGTATTTTAACTAATATGGTGGCAATTCTGTGACTGTTTCCACATAAAGGTACTTCTTCACAACTTAGACCGTGAACTCAAGAGTCAGATACGAAATGTAGAAATGGGGATGACATAGTCATTTAAAAAAGAATTGTTCACAGAAAAGATCTAAATACCTTGTTTTTTGTTTTTTTTCTTTTTGGTACCGGGGATCGAACTCGGGTCCTTGCGCTTGCAAGGCAGGCGGCTAAATACCTTGTTTTAAGTCAGGTTTTGAAACTGTCTAGATATTAACTCTCACTTACCGAGAAATACTGTTCAGCTTCGAGCTGATCTTGTAGCTCCCGCATCTGTCCTTCATTTCCTCTATATTGTCTTTGGAGAGAAGGAAAAAGAGTAAACAAATGTTATTTATACCTGACACGGTAATTTTCTTAGTTTCTTCGAGTTACTAAAGTAAAAACAGTTCACTGAAATAACCTTTATTTTAAAAATATACTTATACTTCATTATATAGTGTTACTTTACTAATTAATTTGGTCAGGCCACACTGTCTGGTTGCATCTTGCTCCTTATAAAATGATGGTATGCAAAGCTGAAAGAATCCTTTTCCAAAGGTACGTTTCAGAGAGTATTAACTGTGGATGTATCAAAATTGCTTCAAAAAAGTTGAAATCAGTTTTGTGGGAAAATTTATGCAGATTAAAAAGCAGGCCTAGGAATACACTGTAAATGTCTTATGCAGTTAAGGAAACAAAAAGAGGCCTTGAAAATATTTATTAAGTGATAACTCAGTAATACATAGTATGGCCAATTAAGCACAAGGAGAGTGTGGCAGAAATTAATAATCAGGTAAAGAATATGAGGAGAAAGCAAGAGCTTAATGCTGACAAAAGAGGAAAAACACAGAGACAAAACCAAGGCTATAGAGCCCAACCATAAGCACAACACACGTGGAGAACAGATTCAGACAGAAAGACAATGTAATTCAAAGACATATTTTCAAGGATTAGTAATTTCATCTACAACTGCTGGACTTTAATATTACATAGTAAGAGCTTCGTATTTTCAGTGTATAATGAGGCATGTGGTTGGTAGAAAATATTTTATAAATGTCCATTGGGTCCTGAGTGACAATTACTTGGGGAGAAGAAAAGTATAGTACATATTAATTGGTGAAAATGATGGCTCTAAAAGGCAAAGAGAATGTCACCAATCTAAATCTAACTTAGTCAAAACCAACAATTTTATCCAAGAAACACTGTTTTGCAAATGAAACTGGTGAGGATATAACAACACATGACCTGGTGTAAGTTATACCTAACTTTGATACTAAAATTTTTGAAGCACGTCCTTATAAATTCTGAAAGCAATATAAACACCTTGCTTTGTCTCCATGTCAAGTAAGCTGGCATATAGCATCTTAAAAGTAACAGAAAAAGAAAAAAGACACTTTGCACTCTGAGATGAATCAAAGAAATAAGACAAAAAAAACCCCTAAAGACTCACCATGTCGAATTCTAGTCTCTAAATTACAAAGAAACCTTAAACATTTCCCTGAAAGTAGGATAAGTTTAATAAAAGAAATTTATTCTTGATGTTTGTAATTCTACTCTGAAGAAATGTGATGACTTTTATGGATATGAAAATCAGAGAAAACTGAATTTTCCATCATAAACAGATTTACTATAAAGTCAGCGATTTTTTTTTTGGTACCTGGAATTGAACTCGGGACCTTGCACTTGCGAATCAGGTGGCAGAACCACTGAGCTAAATCCCTGGCCCTGAAGTCAGCAATCTTGATTTTTTTTCTGCCTTTTAGTATCTGTACTTTTAATTAAGTAACTCTGTGTTTCCCAAATCTAGACTCCCTTACAGACCTTCTTTGAAAGCACTGTAAATTCTTCTATTTCTAAATGCTCTTTTCTGTCTTCCTTTCACAAACTCTTAGTACATAATCTAAATATACATAAGATATCCAACACATAAGCCAATGCTGAACACAAAAAAAGAAATCACAATGGTATTTTCAAGACTTACTTTGTAAGCTGAGCTAACTCAAATTCTAATAATCTCTTGGCTTCCAAAACAGTATTTATTTCCTGTTTCATCTGCTTTTCTAAGCCTTTTAAATTGTCTGCCTCAAAAGCTTGAGTCTTCAATTCATTCTGTAACAGCAGTCGCTTATTGGATTCCTGCTCCAACTGCAAGGTTAGATTCTTAACCTATGAATGAGCAAAATAATTAGTATCTTCAATCTCTTTTTAATTAATCAAATGTCCAAAACATTGTAATTTCTTATTCTAATAAAGAATATTAGTGTTCTAAGGCATCTCCATTGTTCTTTAATAATGTTTAATAATAATGATGTTTATAATTATTATTGTTTATTATTAAACATTATTATAGATTTACCATTAAAAGTCAAATCAATTCCTGAATTTCAGGTATGAGATCTCATATAAAAAAATTATGCTTTCTCTCTCCCTCAATCAGCATAGAAATCTAGGAATACAAAGTGAACATAAAACCCACTTTGGGGGGTGGGGGAGTTCTCGAAAAGTTATTTAAATCTACCTCTTCATTTATAAATGTTTATGTGTTCTAATCTACAATCCTCCAAAGCTTACAAAACTGAATAATTCCTTTCAAAAAATTAGTATAGTAATACCTCGTTCATGAACACTTCTGTTTGCAAATAATTCGATTCACAAACAAAAGTGTTTGGCAAAATTTTACTTCCATTCACAAACTCCACATAGGGTGACAAACACAACCACTGCTGTCTGCCCCACACAAACACAAATGTAGCCATCTTCTCCAAAATCATAAAGCAAATTAAGTTTGCAAACCAAACTACTACCATATATATTTGTAATACATAGTGATTATTCATTTTAGGGAATTAGTACATATATACCATATCTTGATCATTTTTGATCCTCCTCTTTCAACTTCCTATTTTTCCCTCTTCCCTCTTCCCCAAATTTCCTTCCTTATCTCCAAAGTCTATACTTCCTGTTTTCTATCGTCTCTTATTTTCTCTCTCTCCTCTCTCTCTCTGTTTCCTATTATCTATCTCTTATTTTGCTCTTCAAATTACTTATATTTTAGGTTTCATATATAAAAGGAACCATATGACATTTAACCTTCTACGTCTGATATTTCACTGGACATTTGTTTCAAGACCCATTCATTTTCCTACAAATGACTTAAATTTATCCTTCTTTGTGGCTGAGTAATACTCCACTGTGTACGTAACACATTTTCTTTATGTATTCATCTGTTGATGGTCATCTAGGCTGTTTCCATAATTTCAATATTTTATTCTTATAGTGATTGACAGTGTTTTTGTGATTTCCTTTGCCTACTTCTCTAATCCTACCACTGCCATTCTTTACAAGGTGATCATATTATTTGAATCCTTACCAACAAACTCCTTCACCTCACAGTTCTGTCTTTTTCTTTTGCTTTGGAGGAGTACAGATGAGAACACATTTAAACTTACTTTCTTCAGCTCTCACCTTAAACGTCACACCCACAAGCAAGATGTTCCTTAACTCTCAATTACTTGTCATTCTTGTAATTACTATTTTAATATATGTTTTTCCCTCTGGGCTATAACTTCCAAAAAAGTAAAGATTGTAGTTATTTACCTCAGTAACCCCAACTCCTAGCACAGAGTCAGGCATGTAACAGGTACTGAAAAATTATGTTTTTAAAATGACTGAACACTATTTTTCAAATTCTCAACATACACTCCCTCCTGTGAGCTAGCCTTAACAGGATCTCTACTCTTTCTTCTTTGTAGTCAATCCTATTTACCAATAGCAGATTAATTTTCCTAAAGGAATGTTTTCATCTATAGCTCTTACACAAGTTTTGAAACACCATAAAAACTTTGGCCCTGAAGTTTCTCAACATGTCTTTTCTTCTCTGGTCAGATCTGTTTATTTTTGTCCCTTACTTACCCATCTTCTTAATCACCCTGTACTTGCTTATCAGTATCTATACTTGGGAACAGTCCTACATTCAGTCTTACAAGTACTTTCTGAAACAAATATAGTGACTGGGAAGATATCAGATCCTTTCATCATTTTATCAGCAGCTTTATAAAAGTATACTCTGTGCTTTTTATCAGCCTAAATCAGTGAAGACTGCAGTTTAACTTTTTTTTTCTTCTTAGTCTAAGAGCAACGCCTCTTTTTGAGGTTACAGAATTCCTTACAACAAAGAGTTTATTTTTTAGCAGTCAATTTCTTCAGGGAAGGAACGATGGCATTTTAATACAGTTGTACTGTCATGATGCAAAATAGAACAGACACTATGGGGTGATGCTAACTGAAATAAAAATTCTAGGTGCTAAGATATGGATACATGTAAGGTTATTTTATTCAAATCTTCATGATGTTTAAATTACAAATAATAGCTCTTCATTCATAACTTAAAATGTTTCTTTTTAAAAGGTAAACAAAATTGGTACTGTTGTTACCTCATCCTCCATCCGTTCCTTATTTTCAGTCAAATGCTCCAGCTTCTGCTGAGCCTGTTTCAGATCAACATCGACCATGGAGCACTGCTTCTCAATCTGAACGACTCGATTTTCAGCCTTCTCTCGAGCCTTTCTCTCTTCCTTTAGTTTTTTTTCCATCTCTGACAGAAAAGTTACAAACATACATTTTTTTTTTTTGTACTGGGGATCGAGCTCAGGTCTTTCCACTTGCGAGGCAGATGGCGGAACCACTGAGGTAACTCCCCAGCTCAAACAAACATTTTTTAAATGCCTTTACACTTTTCACTTTACATAGTCTATAAACTGGTTTTAAAGTCTCTATTGTTTTTATCCTGGGAATTCAACACAGCCATCAATTATAGAAGTTCTAACATTATTTGAATAATGTATATGGTGAGAATCTCTAAAGGAAAAGTTATAAAACAAGATAAAGTAATAATACTTTCTAAATCTAACCCTTGATCAATGGTATAAGAGATCATTCAGTATCATTTTCAGACCAGAAGGTGAAGGGTATAGCAGGAAAAACAGTAGAGAAACAAAGGAGAAAAATAAAGGTAGATCAGGTATAAAAGCAGGAAAATATGAAGCCAGTTGAAAAGGAAAGGCTTAGGATAAACAAGAGAAAAGGGGCAAGTTGTTAGGATTCGGGAAGAGGACTGCGCTCTAAGATGAGAAAATAATGATGAGCAAGGAGGTAAGAGACCAATAATTAACAGAGAGGAGTTCACACCCACTCTTTCATTATTTCGTTGTCAACCAGGAGAAATGTTCACTTTTTAAAGCTAAAGGGACAAAAAAATGAAGAAGAGATTGGAGAAGTAGAAGCATGGAAGAAGGAACGGATGAATGATATAAAAAATGAACAGTTTCAGTGATATATAAATAATGGTAAGACTCAAGTTGGGGATAACCCACCGAACTAATATTCATCACAAGTACAGTATTACTTAGAGTAAAAACTAAATCTGAAGTGGGTGGCTGTCTGAACTAGTTATGTTCAGGCATAATACTGTAAAAATACAAAGGAATGAAAAATTTGAGGGTACAAACAAGAAAGCAGATGAATTTACCAACAAGGTCCAGAATGGATGAGGGGGAAAAAAAGAACAGCTAAAAAACAGGGAGAAAGAGGTTTCACTTTTTTTTTTTACTTAATATTTTTTTAATTAATTATATTGGTACATTTAAGGTATACAATATAATGACAATCATCATTGGAAATTTGCATCTTTATATAATCCATTTTGGTTCTTATTTTTCCCCCTTCCCCTGCCCTCCCTTCAACCCCCCATCCCTCCCTAGCTACAAAGACTTTCTTTCCATTTTTTTTTTCATATTAATTCCATTTCTTTGTTTCCCTGCCCCTACCCCCTCCCACTTCCCCTTCCCCTTTGTACATTTTCTTCTCATTTCATATTATCTATTATACCTTTTAGTCCTTATTTATACTTTTGGTTTCTCACACTAGAGAAATTATTCGGTATTTACACATGTGTGTCCTATTTATTTCACTTAAGAGTATTGCCTCAACATGCATCCATTTAGCTATAAAGGTCTCTAGTTTCTCATTCTTTATGGCTGAGTAGTACTCCATTTTATAAAAAAAAAACCCCACATTTTCTTTATCCAGTCTCCAGTTGATGGGCATTTGGGCTGTTTCCAAGTTTTAGCTATCACAAATTGTACTGCTATGAACATGGGTGCACATATATCACTGTGGTATGATTCTTTTAATTCTTTGGGGAAGATACCCAGCAGGCGAATAGCTGGGTCAAATGGGACTTCCAGTCCTAGTTCTTTGAGGTATCTCCATACTGATTTCCACAGTGGTTGCACCAGTCTACACTCCCACCAGCGGTGGAGCAGGGTTCCTCTTTCCCCACAGCCCCGATAGCATTTGTTATTGCTTGATTTCATGATAGCAGCTATTCTTTCAGGGGTGAGGTGGAATCTCAATGTTGTTTTCATTTGCATCTCTCGAATGACCAGTGATGTTGAACATTTTGTCATATGTTTATTTGCTATTTCTACTTGTCTGAGAAATGTCTGTTCATTTCAGATGCTCATTTTTGGATTGGGTCTTTAAATTTGGGAGGTCTGATTTTTTTCAGGTCTTTATAGATTCTAGATAGTAGACCTTTATCTGAGGGACAGCTCAACAGCCAATATCATACTAAATGGTCAAAAACTGAAATCTTTCACACTAAAATCAGGAACAAGACAAGGATGTCCATTATCACCATTCCTGTTCAATATAGTTCTGGAAACATTAGCCACTGCAATTAGACAAGAGAAAGAAAGAAAAGGAATAAAGATAGGAAATGAAGAAGTCAAATTGTCATTATTTGCAAATGACATGATACTTTATATAGAAGACCTAAAAAAAAAGGAAGAAGACGACCTGAAGAACTCCACTAAAAGTCTTCTACACTTAATAACCAAATTCAGTAAAGTAGCTGGATACAAGGTCAACACACAAAAATCAATTGCTTTTCTGTACAAAAAAAACAGACTCACTGTGAGAGAAATGGGGCAATCAATTCCTTTCACAATAGCACCCAAAAAATTGAAATTATCTAGGAATCAACCTAACAAAAGAAATCAAAGATCTCTACTCTGAAAACTATAGCACTCTGAAAAAAGGGACGGAACAGGGTATCAAAAAATGGAAAGACATCCTTTACTCCTCAGGAAGAAGAATCAACATAGTGAAAATGGCCATACTTCCAAAACTGCTATATAGATTCAATGCAATCTCAATTGAAATCCCAGCAGCATACTTCACAGACCTGGAGAAAACAATCCAAAAATTCATTTGGAACAAGAGACCTAGAATAGCAAAAGCAATACTAGGCAACAAAGACAAAGTAGGTATCACAATCCCCAACTTGAAACTGTATTACAAAGCTACTGTGATAAAAACAGTATGGTACTGACAAAGAAACGGACCTGAGGACCAATGGAACAGATTAGAAGATGCAGAAACAACTCCAGACACATTTAGCCACCTCATCTTTGACAAAGGAGCCAAACTCCCTCACTGGAGGAAAGATACCCTCTTTAATAAATGGTGCTGGAAAAATTGGGTTTCAACTTGCCAAAGATTAAAACTAGACCCATATCTCTCACCACGCACTAAACTAAAATCGAAATGGATTAAAGATCTAAATATTAAAACAGAAACGCTAAACTGGCTGGAAGAGAGGTTAGGAAGAGCTCTTGAAGACACTGGTGTAGGAAAAGATTTTTATAAATAAAACCTCAGTCACCCGTGAATTAGCACAATCAACAAGTGGGATCTCTTCTTACTAAAAAGCTTTTGCACAACAAGAGAAACCACCAACAACAGTATGAAGAGACAACCCACAATGTGGGAGGTTTCAGTTTTATAGAAATGCAACAGTAGTAGAGTAAGGAAACTAGAAGTTAAAATTGTGATTTAAAAATACAGTATTAAAAAAGGAAAGCATTCTTTTTCTAGGCTACAATTTATAATACTACTATAAAATGTTTTGATCAAAACTAAAATTTTTCTAGGCATTTAAAGAATCATACACAAAATATTACTGATACTTACCACACATTGCAACAGACTTTGCCTCTTCAATAGACTGATGTTTGTCAGTTAAACGAGCTTTGGTAACTTTGTGTTCATTCACCTCTTGTTCTAACCTTTGTTGTAATGATTTAAGCTTATAGTTTAAATCTATCTCTAAATTGTTCTTTTCCTGTAAAATTGAAATGAGAATCATGTAATGAACTGTGCAATAAGCACATGGTTAACTCTTGCATTGGTTAATATACTGCAAGAGATAAATGTCTTACTTTCATAATCATAAAATATATAGCTAAAAGCAAAACGTCACCTTTTCTTTACCTGCCTCCCCTCTCCCATTTCAAAGATTGACCGTGGCTGATGCACCGCAAGGTGCACCAGTGGCCACATTCACAATGATTCACTGCTAGGATCACAAACAAATACAACATTCCTTTTATTTTTTAAAATTATTGCCACTACTTTAAAAAATATTAAATTATTTTTATCTACATTTGCATCTATATTCATATTTACTTTGCTCTGACAAAAGTATCCCATAGCAAGTCAGTGAGACTGGAATGGAGAACAAGTAAAAATGTATTCCATTTCTGCTTGCATACCTTTATCCTTCCTTCTTCTATACTATTTCCACATTTATACCAGCATGGCCATCAAACATCTATCCTAATTGTTACAAAATATGTCCACAGGCCAGGAATTTAGCTCAGTGGCACCACGCCTGCCTCGCAAGCACAAGGTCCTGAGTTCAATCCCCAGTACCAAAAATAAATAAAAATTAAAACAGAAAGAATTGTGCTGGTGATTTAGCTCAGTGGTGCCGCCACTTGCCTCACAAATGCAAGGTCCTGAGTTTGATCCCCAGTACCAAAAAAAAAAAATGTCCACAGGACAAGATCAGTAGCAGCTTTTCTGATGATCATTTATCTGACATTTTGGGGAGGCACCTAAAAAGTGGAGACCTAGGTCTGCAAAATGTGTTTCATCCTTTCCCAAGCATGATATGTAAGAGAGGATAACCCATGACATTTGTGGTTGCTAAGAAAATTAAGTGCAAAGGCCAGTCAATTATTCCCCTTTCTATTTTCCTAACTTTTACTAGCAAAATGGAGTAAAGCACGTATGGTCTAAAAATACTTCTGTATTTTCCTTCTTTAAAAGACTTTACAATGAAAATCAGTACTTCCATCTTATCCATATATGAAGAAACTAGGGAAAAAAATTGATGAAGTTTTCCCAAACCAATTTGTGATAATCTGTAACATTCTCAAAAGTACAAACAAAACAATATAGCAAGGGCCAAGGATTTAGCTCAGTGGTTTCACTGCCTGCTGCACAAGCGCAGGGACCCGACCGAGTTTGATCTCCGGTACCAAAAACAAAACGCTATCAAGACACTAAATAAGACACATACATCCCCCCACACACCAGTGAACCAACCAAACATAAAAACTTTTAGATATAAAACTTCACAAACATTAGAAATGAATGCTATTTTATAAAATGATCTTATAATCTCTGATAACCAGTATTATCTCATAATCGGTACATGTTAAGCCATTTACCTTTTCTGAATGATTAAGCATGTCTTGAGCCTCTTTTCTTTCTTCTTCTACTCTTTCAAGATTATGTTTGAGATGCTTCACTTCCTCTTGTAAAGATGTGATTCGAGCTATCAAATGAAAAAACAGTTCAAGTTCCTTGTCATTAAAAAAATGTCTTTTTGTTCAGAACATTTATTAAAATTTTGGAAATGTATTAAATTTTCTGATCAGATAGAATTTATTAAGTTTTCTTGGTTGTATACACAATAACCACAATATACAGCAATAAAAATATCAAGAGTAACTTAATATTATGTAACACATATCCATTATTTTACAAGTGGTCAAAGAGGACGAGGCCTAAGTATAGGCTAGAAATCACACCCAAGTCCTTACTGAGTGCTCTTTAAAAGTGACACCCGTTAGATAATTAAAATGAGTATTAAATGTTATGAATGTACCAGACACTCTTCAAAATGTCTAATAAAATTGCTCAAACTTAATGGAGCCAAACCCCATTTTTATAGAAAGTGGAGTTTTAAAGAATTCAATTGTTCTAACAATGCTTAATTTTAACCTACCAGGGGCTCACACAGGATCTGAGCAATAATCATTAATTGCTGCTAAGGGCAAAAAAGAGAGCCAGACTTTATATGCTTCCTAGTGCCTAAATACTAATACTCAAGTATTTCTGCCAAAGTCCTACCAGAAACAAAAAGCCTTTAGACAGGTCAAGATCTAGATCCAACTCCCAATTGAAAGTACTACAGGAGAGGACTGAAGATGTAGTTCAGCAGCATGGCACCTGCCTGCCAAGTGCGAGGTCCTGAGTTCAATCCCCAGTAGCAAAAAAAAAAAAAAAAAAAAGTAGTACAGGAGACAGAGAAACATATAAAATCAGTAAAATTCAGAATGAGAGATAGGCAAAAAGCTTGATTTTGAGGAGGGGGGGCACAAATATCAGCAATGACAAACTACCATGAACAAAAAAGGAAAATGTAAATTTAATAACTTAAGGGACATATTAATGAAATATAATGTGCAGACTTTGAATAGATTCTAATTCAAGCAAAATAAAAACAAAAATTTGTGAGAAATTGAGAAATCTGAGCATTGACTAGATATTTCTTAATATTAAGCAATCATCAGCTTTTCCAGCTTTGATAATATTGGGGTTTTTTTTTTATTCTTGTTTTTCAGAGATACTGAAATATTTACATTAAATGTGATACCTGAGATTTGCTTCAAAAGAACTCAAATGTCAGAGGACTGTGGAGGGGAGGTAGAGGAATAAAATGACACAAGACTGGCTACCAGACAACAGTTGAAGCTGGATGATGACTACACAGAGGTGTCATTATGGTATTTACTTTGATACAGGTCTGAAATTCTCCAACATAAAAACTTAAAGAAGAAATCACCCAACTAATACTGTAGTTTTTGTTTAAAACAACTTTTTAAAATGGTTTATTTTTAAAGTATCTTTTACATTTCAATCAGAAGAATCACTGAAGTTAATAGATGAAAAGCTTATCATTTCAATTAAAATTTTCAATCCTCCATGACATTTTGATCTCTCTCTACCCCTTCATCTTCATTAAGCCTCTATGGCCTTTGGACGCTTGCATTCTCTGGAATGGCAGGCTGACTGATAAAACTATTCCACATGTTGGCAAACTTCAAGGCCACAGCCTGTGTTGATAAAAACCTGAAACCAGTTTTTTCATAAGGAGTTATAAAAAACACAAAAAAATATGCAACATAGATCATATGAGGTCCGGTGAGCCTAAAACATTGACTATCCGATTATGCTTGGGAAGTCTCTCTCACACACGCAAAGCCCACATAGAGGACATTCAATGAGGGACTCACAATCAAGACTGTGACAGAAACCCAGCATCCTGAACTGAAAGAAATTTATACTTGAAGGGCCTAAAATTTCTTAAGGACTATAAAAGACTAATGTAAAAATTGTGGGTTTTTTTATTTTAACAATATATAGTTTTGTACTGAAGCTCACATAAATTGTGTGCATTTTTAAAGAGCATGTGAGGTTTGATTTACATTCAAGTTCAAAATGAAAAGAAGCACTGAAAAAATATTAACAATATTTTGGTGTCAATTTTAACTCTAACACCTAAAAAACACATTCAATTAAAAACCACCGTTAATGAGCACATGGATGATGCCCTCTGCCTTGGAAGCAAGCAATTCAAAACTCAGTCAAAACAGGAGGCAACAAAATTTTAGAATTCAAAAATTTCCAGAAGTAACCTAATCTCCATGCCTTTAGACACAGAAGGGAGATGACACTTTCAGACATCTAATATACTATATAAAAGGACCTAGAAAACTTGACTTTAAAGAAGTATGAAGCAGGGCTGGGGATTTAGCTCAAGTGGCGTCATGCCTGCCTCACAAGCTCAAGGTCCTGAGTTCAATCCCCAGTACTCGAAAGAGAAAAAAAAAAAAAGTATGAAGCATTCCTAATACACACACAGACACTACTTTCTTGGTGATACTCAGTTTTATTTTAAGCCTGGTGCCTGAGGAGGAAGACTGCACAACACTCTTCAGTTAGGAACCAATGGGAGATCCTAATTTCTGTCTCCATAGTCACAAGAACTGACCTTGACCTCTCTCCACAGAATTATGGCTAATCATCAAGTCCCATGAGACCCAAACTATGCTCCCATCTGTGACGAAGGTTAAAATGCAATCCCCTTCTCCCAACAGACCTCTTTTTCCTGAGAGGTCTGGCAATGTCCATTTATATCCATTTTGAGTAGGTAGTATGGCTCCTGTCACTACCAGGAACAGAAAATGGTGTCTGAGAAGTAGGTAAAGGCAGACGTATTTTGCAAACAAACTGAATGTTATTTACCATTTTAAAATGGTTACTTTATTCACTGCTGGCTTTTCTTGTTGTTGTTTTTTTTTGAGACAAGGTCTTGCTATGTAGTTCAGGGTGGCTTTGAATTCACTACGTAGCACAGGCTGGTCTCGAACTAGTGATGATCTACCTGCCTCAGCCTCCTGAGTGCTGGGATTACACACTGAGCCACCATGCCTGTTAGTTGTACTCAATCTTCTGTCTTTTAGATTCACAATGACTGATGATATGTCTGGTCCTAACCTTCCCAAGTACCTAACTCTTTATTTTAATGGGGTTCTATTTCTGCAATTGCATTTCTATTTCTACTGACAATTCATGAGGAATCCCCATGATTTAAACAATGCTAATTAATACCCTCTGCCTCAACTAGTCTCACTGTAAGAACTTTATAAATGGGGCAAGTTTTTCAATTAAATTTCCAGTTAATGTAGCTATAAAAATAAAAAAAATACCCATACTCTGTGCCTCACAGAGTTGCCTGTGAGCGTGCAGGAATTACAGTGACACCAATAATACAGGCCTTGTCCTGAAAGAAAAAGAATGCTAACCATTTCTATTTCACTGAAGTCATTTTCTATATGGTGGTACTATGATCAAAAACTTATTGCCTTCTATTTAAAACTGATTAAGATGGTAAATTCTATGTTATTTTTAAAAACAGAATTAATAAGAAAGAAGAACAAACACTGTATGATTCCATTTATATAAGGATCCTAGATGTGGCAAGCAGGACGGAGGTTACCCAGGGGTAAGGGGGGACAGAATGGTGAGTTACTGTTTAATAGGTACAGAATTTGAGTTTGGGATGGAAAGACTTCAGGAGATGGAGAGTGACAATTACTTAACAATGTGAATGTCATTAATCCCACTAACCTGTGTACTCAAAATGATTAAAATGGAAATTTAATGCTTTGAATATTTTACTACAATAAGAAAACATATTACTGCCGGGGATTTAGCTCGCTGGTTCCACCGCCTGCCTCGCAAGCTAAGGACCCAAGTTTGATCCCTGGTACCAAAAAAAACCCCACAAAAAACAAAAAACATATTACCTTGAAGTTCTCCAATCATCTCAGAATCATGACCTCTGTCTCTCCGTTCAGCTTCCAACACAGCTTGAAGCTGATAGTAATCCTTGTCTGTTTGTGACTTGGAATTCTCTAAAATTCTGTTTCTCTCTTGCAATTCTCTGTTCAAGGACTCTAGCTGACTAATTGATTTGCTCATTTCTGTATGACTCTTCCTTAATCTTACAGCCGTATCCGATTCTGTCCTAAGTAAGTCATTGGCTTCTTCCAGCTATTAAAAAAAAGCAAGAAAATAGAATCTTAAACAAAATATCATCAAACTTATTTTAATTAACTATAATTTTTTTTGCTTTTTTGGTTTTTTTGTACCAGGGAATGAACTCAGGACCTTGCACTTGTGAGGCAGGTGCAGTGCCACTGACCTAAATCCCCAGGCCAATTAACTATAATTTTTTAAAAGGTGCCTCATTTGAAAAACTTACCTGCTTCTGTAATTGTGCCAGCTTCTCATTAGCAAGCTGTGAATTCTGACTTACTTTCTTTAAGTCTTCCAATTGATCCTTTAATGTAGAGACTAGAAAATGAATATATAGATATTAAATTTTTATTAGAGGAAACATAATATCCCACTTTTAAATCATTTTTTTAGATTGTAATAGCTAAATTATGTCCCTCCCCACTTCCAAAACCAAATTCCATCTGAGAAGTACTTACATTTAAAATTCATCAAAAAGCAGAGCACCATTTTATAATACAAAGTGCAAAGAGTGATGATTTGTTTCTGTTGGAATATCTCAAATTCTTTTATTCCCTTAATAAGATCAATCTATTAGTATAATGCTATAAAGCTATTTTTATTATTTGTTTTTGAATAGTACAATTGGATAGTTCAGTCTGATAAAAATAGTACTACTGGGTACTCCACCCACATCATAGTCTTCTCTTTGACTGGCCCTTCTTATCAGCAACAATTATTACTAGTTTTGTTTTTTTGGGGGGGGGGTACCAGGGATCAAACTCAGGACCTTGTGCTTGCAAGGTAGGCGCAGTGCCACTGAGCTAAATCCCCAGCCCAATTATTACTAGTTCTTGTACAACTTTCCTAAAATGGTCTATGTACAGATATCCTAATACTGACCCAAACATATACTGAGCCAAACACATGTATACACACACATGCATGTACATATTTTTGCCTCTCTAAATATACATGCATATTTAAGAACATATAAATAAGCACTGTTTTGAATACAAATGATCTGTAGTTTGTTTTTATAAAAGACACATCTTAGACATCTTTTTTAACAGTATATAAGGAGTCCTTTAAAAAAAACTGAATGGTATTCTACCAGATATATAAAATTTTACCTCATCATTGGTTAATTTATATTGTTTATACATTTAAAAAATTACATAAGATTGTATGCACATAAGTAAATATGTAAAACTAAAGAAGAAATAAAATCACGAGGTCAAAGGGTACAGAAAACTTGTCCATATAACTGGAACACTGGTCCTAGCACATGAAACCCCAGGGCATAGTTAGGAGGGCGCCCTCTTGTGCAGGGACACCCCCCACCTCTGTGCTGCAGCACAGGTCCTATTCAAGGAAAGCCTCGCTGTGGTGGTCTTTTAAATCTGCTTGTGGTTTATTTCTTGAGTAATGCGGGCTCAGAAGGTTCTGTGAATCTACTCAGGGTTCTTACTCGGAGTAGTATGGACAGAGGGGGGGAAAAAAAAGAAAAAGAAAAATTCTGGCTTAGCAGTTTTCATAAGTGGTACCTGTTGGAAATACCTGGGAAGCTTAAAGAAAATACTGGTGCCCAGGACATGTAGCAACACTAAGTAGATTAGAATCTCTGGGGTGTCAGTATTAGCATTTAAATCTTTTCTAGAGATTCAGTCTGTACATAATGATAACAGTCACTACTCTAGCTAAATACTACTTACTATTGACTTTACTATGTTAGAAATTTAACTGGAAGCTAGGCATGGTGGTGCACGCCTGTAATCCCAGCACTTGGGAGGCTGAGGCAAAAGGGTTTCTGGGAGTTAAAGGCCAGCCTGAACTACATAGTGAGATCTTATTTCAAAAAAAAAAAAAGAAAGAAATTTAACTGGAAATCTGAGTTATTTAGTTCATCAGATATCTGAAACATTGTGGTTTAATAAATCTATCATGGGCACTTAATTTAAGAAAGCCTCATGAGAAAGACCTAGACGACAGTGTGAGACAGAAATTCTAGGGACTAGACATATAATTCAGTGGTACTACATTTGCCTAGAAATTCTACATTTTTCAAAAGTACCAATTTACCTTCATTTTCTACATTTCTCCTCTTCTCATTTTCCTGTTCAGCTTTTCTTTGGTACTCACTAATTCTATGTTGTAATAACATTTTATCCTTCTCAATTTGAGACACTGTAGATTCTAGATTTCTTCTTTGATTTCCCTGAAATTAGGACAAAAGTTAACCATTGCAATTAATATTTCTTATCATTTATTTGAGGGAGTATTGTGTTCTTAAGAAAAAAGCAAGACAAAAACTTAACATGGCAATCCCCGGTACCAAAAAAAAAAAAACAAAAAAAAAAACTTAACATGGATTTTTAAATTTTCAAATCAGTATCTCCTAATAATGACAACTTTCTAGTAATAAATGGAGATTGTATGGGCCGGGGATTTAACTCAGTGGTTCTGCTGCCTGCCTGGCAAGTGCAAGGACCCGAGTTCGATCCCGGGTACCAAATAAATAAATAAATAAATGAATGAATGAATGAATGAATGAATGAATGAATAGAGATTGCCTTCTAAGACAGCAAAACTAATGTGAGCTAAGAAGATAAAATTTTCAAAGACTTAAAATACAATCCTTTGAATCTCAACTTTTAATATTGAAAGTTGCTTCATTAGCTTAAGACTACACTGTATTACAAATATTTGGATTGATATAGAATCCTCCATTTAATATATGAATTATACGAGGTTCAGGTAATAATTACATATTTGATAAGTAATGCAAAACTGAATGATACTAAATGGTTCAGAGTCCACCAGTCCCTCTATGTCTCCTGTCCTTTCCCAACAGTATTTTATCTTTTTAAAGATGCTCTCCGTATCTTAAAAATGTGTATTAAAAAGTAATCAAGGAAATATTTTCAGAAAAAGAATGTATAGTGGACAGAAGGGTTAAAGGAAAAATATCCAAATTTTTACGACTTCAAAAACTACTTTTTATGGAAGACACTGTCAAGATTTGTAAATGTGACACAGATCAATAAGATCTTCCTAATTCTAAGACCTTATCATTTTAATCTTAAATCTATTTGAAGTGTTCCAGCAGTGGACTAATATTCAGTGGTACAGATATACCAAAGTGTTCACCCACTCACCCATTATAGGATATTTTGGTTAATTTCTGTTTGAGCTATTATAAGTAAAGCTGCTATGAACAGTAGTATGCAGGTTTTTGTAAGAATGTAGTTTTCATGTTTCTGAGAAAATGTCCAAGAGTGCAATTGCTGGGTCACACAGGACCTGTAAATTTAGCTTTTTAGGGAACAGCCGAATGGTTTGCCAGAACTTCTGTGCCATTTTGCATCCTTAACTACAATGTACAAGAGACCCCATTTCTCTATATTCTGCCAGGTTTGGAACTGCTACAATTTTATGCTTAATAGTTACAGAGTGATAGTTCATTGATTCCCAAATGGCTAATGATACACATATCCTTTCACCTGTTTATTATTCATTAGTGGTACCTCAGTTCACGAACTTGATTCTTTCTACAATTCTAGTCACAAACTGAGTTGGACGAGAACCAAATCAAATTCAATGGTTAGGTTCAAAGTTGACCTTATGGAGAAATTTGATTTGGTTCTCATCCAGTTTTGTTTGCGTCCAGAATCATGGAGAAAATTGAGTTTGTAAATCGAGGTACCACTGTACTTCCTTTTTGTGAAATCTATGTTCCTATCTTTTTTTTTTCCTTTTTTTGGTACCAGGAATCGAACTCAGGACCTTGTACTTGCGAGGCAGGCGCCAGAACCACTGAGCTAAATCCCCAGCCCCGATGTTCCTATCTTTTACCAATTTTTACACTGGATTATATACTGGTACGCTCTGAGAATTAAATATTCTAGATATAAGCCCTTTGTTAGATATACAATTCGCAAATATTTTTCCGTCTATAAGTTGTCATTTTTTCCTTTTAATAGGGTCCTGAACAGAGCAAGTGTTGTTAATTTTAAGTCCAATTTATCCAATTCTCCTTATATGGATTAAGTTTGTGGTATCATGTCTAAGAACTCTTCACTGAATCCAAAAATACTCATGCCATGTTTCTCTGACAATAAAAATGTTTTTGGTAGGTAACCATGGAAAATACAAATAGTTCTAAAATCAATGTTTTTCCCATTTGATCACATGAGATTATGTCAAAATTAATCCTTTTAAAATATTTTAAATTGTATTTCTCCCTCTTCTCTATTTCTCTTTTTGATACAGTTCCTCATTCAATTTCTGATCTCTTGCATCTTGTTCACTTTTCAAGTATGAAGAATTACTGAACAGCCTCCAAGTGGTGGTGCATGCCTGTAATCCCAGCACTCAGGAGGCTGAGGCAGGAGGATCACTGAGAGTTCGAGGTCAGTTGGGCTACATAGTGAGTTCAGTGCCAGCCTGAACTATAAAGCAAGACCCTGTTTCCAAATTTTAAAAAATAAATAAATAAAAGAATCACTGAACAGCTTAGGCACAGTGGTGTATGCCTATAATCCTAGCTACTCAAGAGGCTGATGTGGGAAGTTCACTCAAGCCTGGGAGTTCAAAACCAACCTGGGTAACATAGCAAGATCTTCCCTCAAGGGGAAAAAAATAAGAGCCACAACTATACTCCCAGCACAGGGGAGACTGGGCAGCAGGAGAATCTTTTGAGTTAGAGGCCAGACTAGACGATATAATGGGACCCTGTCTAAAA